AATATCTGGATCCGTACGGACTACTCACGTGCCAACAAACACAATCCGCCTGGCGTGGTCACAGGCACATCAACACAATCTGCCCGGCGTGGTCACAGGCACGCAGTCCATTCGTATCATACATGAGCAAATAAACAAGTATACATGTATGAAATGAGTGAATAACAAATCCCATGCTCCTAGACTGGTATAAACTACATGCTAAAGTGTAGGCCTGTGCAAGTGTACTATCATAGCTCAAATCGGCAATTTCATCAAAGAATAACAGTTATCGGTTCATTTGGGTATTAAGCCCATATGTAGCCTTAAACTTGGCTCAAATAGTTCACAACAATGTTAAAAACATGCGAAGCATCATAACTTAAGGTTTAACAGTCGAATTCTAGGTTTATAAGAGCCTGAGCACAACTCGAACATGAATAAATGACCCCGGTGTTCGCATATGGGTTCAACCCCACGCATGTGTGCACCCAATAGCACGTAGCTATCACAATAATTCTTGCAACTAGTGCCTCAACCTAGTTTAGATAAGCTACTTACCTTAAGCAAATCTAATCACTCTGCTAGCAAGCCCTTCCCACGCGTATCAATCTATGAAAGGCTTGAATCTAGCCATAAATAACGTAATACTATCAATAAAAAGTTATAGGAATTGATTCCAAATGATAAAGCTAAGATCCTTAACCAAAGTCAAAAAGTCAACCCCGAGCCCACATCTCGGAACTCAAATTAATTTATAAAATCCGATCACCCATTCGATAACGAGTCCAACCATATTAAAATTATTCAAATCCGACCTCAAATCGCCTTTCAAATCATCACAATACATTCGATGAAGTTTTCACAAATATTTCCCAACTTTTCCAACTCAAAACACCAATTAAATGGTAAAAACAATGATGGGTTCATGTAAAATAATCAAATCCGAGTTATAATCACTTATCCCAATCGATTCCTTGAAAATCCCTCTTAAAATCACCACAAACCGAGCTCTCTAAGTCCAAAAGATGAAGAATGAAATAAAACCATCGCTTTTGAAATTTAACATTGCTGCCTAGTTATTGGCTTTCGTGATCGCGGACAAACAATCGCGATCGTGGAGAACAAACTCTCCCCAGCTCACAAAACCTCCTTCGCGATTGCAAGAGCTCAGACACGAACGTGGAGAACAACCCTCCCAAGCTTATGCGATCGCGTTCCACGACATGCGAACGCGAAGAACATCGCGCGCCCTCCCCCCCAGGTGCCTCACTTTCCTTATATGTGAACGCGATCCACTGTACGCGTTCACAAAGCACAAGTTCATCAACTTCTGTGATCGCACCCCTTACTTCGCAAACGCGAAGAGTAAAATCCCAGCAGTCCACAAAGACCCTTCGCGATCGTGAACCTTTCCTCGCGATCGCGATGAAGGAAACTAGAATGCATAAACCAGCAATCCCATTTCAAGAACAATTGGTCTGAACTCAATTCGAAACACATCCGGGGGCCCCAGGACCCCGTCCGAACATTCCAACAAGTCCCAAAATCTGATACGAACTCGCTCGAAATTTCAAATCACATCAAACAACTCTAAAACCATGAATCGCATCTCGATTCAAGCCTAAGGAATTCATGAACTTCTAGTTTTTAAAACTAATGCCGAAATAGACCTCAAATTTTGCACACAAGTCTTAATTGACACAAATGGGCCTATTCCAACTTCTGGAACCCATATCTGAACCCGATAACAATAAAGTTAACTCTCGGTCAAACGTCTCAACTTTTCAAACCTTCAACTTTCCAACTTTCGCCAATTCAAGCCAAAACGACCTACGGACATCCAAATCGATATCCGGACACACTCCTAAGTCTAAAATTACCATACAGAACTATTAGAACCAACAAAACTCTATTCCGGAGTTATTTACACATAATTTAATATCCAGTTAACTCTTTCAACTTAAGCTTCCAACCTTGGGACTAAGTGTCCCAATTCATTCCGAAATATCCCCGGAACCAAAGCAACCACCCTGAAAAGTCAAATAACAACAAACGAAGATAGAATAGGCAATAAATAGGGGAATGGGGCTACAATACTCAAAACGACCGGCCGGGTCGTCACATTCTCCCCCTCTTAAACAAATGTTCATCCTCGAACGGGTCTGGAATCATACCTGGAGTATCAAATAGGTGTCGATAGTTGATCTGCATCTCGTGCTCGGTCTCCAAGGTAGCCTCCTCGACTGACTGACCTCTGCACTGCACCTTCACTGAAGCTATATTCTTTGACCTCAACTTTCGAACCTGCCGATCCATAATGGCCACCGGCTCCACATGATAAGTCAAATCCCCATCTAACTGAACTGTGCTGAACTCCAAAATATGAGATGGATCACCAAAATACTTCCGGAGCATGGAAACATGAAACACTGGATGAACACCCGATAGACTAGGTGGCAATGCAATCTTGTAAGCCATCTCTCCAATCCTCTCAAGCACCTCAAAAGGGCCAATATACTGTGGGCTCAACTTGTCCTTCTTCCGTAATCTCATGAAACCCTTCATAGGGGAAACTCTGAGCAGTACCTTCTCCCCCACCATGTAAGAAACATCACAAACCTTCCGATCGACGTAACTCTTCTTTCTAGACTATGCCATGCGAAGCCGATCCTGAATCAAATTAAACTTTTCCAAAGCATCCTGAACCAAGTCAGTACCCAATAGCCTAGCCTCACCCGGCTCAAGCCAACCAACCGGAGACCGACACCGCCTCCCATACAAGGCCTCATACGGAGTCATCTGAATACTCGATTGGTAGCTGTTGTTGTAGGCAAACTCTACAAGTGGCAGAAACTGATCCTAAGAACCCCCGAAATCCATGACGCAAGCGTGTAACATGCCCTCCAATATCTAAATAGTGCTCTCGGACTGTCTGTCAGTCTGGGGGTGCAATGTTGTACTCAACTCAACTAGTGTGTCTAACTCTCGCTGCACTACTTTCCAAATATGCGATGTGAACTGCGTGCCTCGACCTGAAATAATTGACACCGGCACACCATGAAGGTGAACAATCTCGCGGATATAGATCTCAGCCAACCGCTCCGAAGAATAGGTAGTCCTAGCTGAAATTAAATGTGCGGACTTCGTCAGTCGGTCAACAATCACCCAAATAGCATTAAACTTCCTCAAAGTCCGTGGGAGCCCAACTTCGAAGTCCATGGTGATATGCTCCCATTTTCACTTAGGAATCTCAAGCCTTTAAAGCAAATCGCTCAGCCGCCGATGCTCGTACTTCACCTATTGACAATTCAAGCACCGAGCTACAAACTCCACTATATCTTTCTTTACTTGAAAATAAATTTATTTATAAATGGAGCGATATATAAGTTCAATGAACTCATATAGTTTGTTTGATATATTTTTTTCTTTAAATGTTTTATAGTTGAAGTCTAACAGAAAAGCGTATAAATATTTTTCTTACTCCAATACTGTTTAGAGCACAGTGCTATTGAGCTGACATGAACATTAGCATATTAGAGTGTGTTGGACAATTAGCTAAATGGTATAAAAGATGCACAACTGCAGCCTCTGGCGTGGCAGTTATCGATATTTTGTCTTATAATTTAATAAACTCACAGTGGAGGTTTGCATAGTAGTAGCTGAAACGGATAATATTTTGTCGTCAACAACTGCAAGATTCAATAATGAAGGTGAGTCCGATGAACTTTTCAAAGTGTATGCCATTAGCATTTGTTTATTGTCCTTTTCCCTGTAATTGGCACAGTAAATATCATGAATTTATTTTTTGATATAAGTAACAACAGTTAAATGATGATGTAATTCAGTTTAAACGTAGTTTGTATTGTACCAATTCCGTAATTCAGTTGCTTCCACATATAGGGTATTTATTAAGATTGTCGAGTTGTATCTTGTTGCCAAACGAGAAACTGTGTTTGTAAATTTTGTTAGTAAACAAAGTGAAATCGTTATTCATATGTAGAAAAATTGACGAGCATGATCTTACCACCACGGTATTTGGTGATATCTATTTGCTTCGTAACAATAACCGGGTATTCTTGCAGTTGCCTGACTTGCCTCACTAACTCAGTTCCTTCATTGTTTGCCAAGTCTTCCCATATAGTGAAGAAAATAGGTTTTTTCTTGTATATTTATGAGTATCAGCTAGACATTTTCTTATGTAATAGAAGATTAAATGACTTTCCCGTTGTCCATAATTATAGCCTCTTGAAATCTCTTAGTTGGATCGGTGGTGTATTGCATTGCCCCACAGTTTGCCATAACAACTAGTAGATCTATTATTATGAATAAAAAACAAATGTAGGTAAAACCAGTATTTTAGGATCCACCATGAGTTTCAAGTAATAAAGTTGTTGTAAGACATAGACTAATTTGAAAGATACCAAATTCAACACCGCGTCAATTTAGTCTTTCAAGGTATTTAATGCATGTCAGACGGTGGTCGGCCACCGCTGATACTGAACCATCATTGCTTAAACCTATAAATAACCCTTCCTTTTATCATTTATCACTTTTACATCTTCAATCTTCCAAATTTTCCAATTTCTTTTTCGTATTCTCTAAGCTTATTCGCAAATCTGTGATTCCTCTTTGCAAAATTCTTCTTCCAAATTACCAAATCTTTGTCACCTTTTTTAAATCCAAAATGGTGAAGACATCCAAAACCGTCCCCCAAAAAAGAAAAAGCTTCTTCTTCCCAATCCGCCGTCGATTTCTAACTTTGGCAGTTGAAATGAGGTATGTCTCGAAAAGTTCAAACAACTTATCACATTGTCACGACCCCCAATTTCCCTTCGTAGGATGTCGTGACGGCACCTAGTCTCTAAGACTAGGTAAGCCTAACACTTCCTGAATTAATAAAAAAATTTAACCAACAACTATGAATTTTGATATGGAAATTTCCATACAAGCCAACAATCCCAAAACCGGTAGTACAAGTCATAAGCTCTACATAGTTTGCTAGAAAAATCACTAAATACAACTGTTTCAGAATAGAAATAAACAATACAGGTACAATATCAGAAGGTGACTCCAAGGCCTGCGAACGTGACGACAGGTTTACCTTAAGTCTCCACGGCAAAACCCGAACAGCTAGCTATTGATCAACCAACTCTGAAATACCTGGATCTGCACAAAAATATGCAGAAAGCGTAGCATGAGTACACCACAGCGGTACCCAGTAAGTATCAAGACTAACCTCGATAGAGTAGTGACGAGGGACAGTCAAGACACCTACTGGACTAAACAACCTGAACAAGTATGAAGGCGAACTAACGGGAAAACAATGTTAATATAAAGCTAAGCATGGTAAGGAAGACAAAACAATACTCGCAATGAAACACTAGAAACAACAATTAGCAACAAGAAGCAAACGGATAGTAATGTTGTAGAGTAAGTTGGACACAGTCTAAGTCCGATGAAACCAAATAAAGAAAAACAAGTAACAACTCAACAAGAACAACCGCTTTTACACCAGATCTATTCAGGAATTTCCACGAGGTACCAAACCTCATAATCACAAATCACGGGTCCCAATTCTTGAACCCTAATCACTTGGCCTCATGTGCCCATATTACAAATTCATAACCGCACGAATGACTCACATGCCAAGAAAGTGACAATAGCTAATATCCGCATGGACCACTCACGTGCCAATAATAAAAATGACTCATGACTGCACGGGCAACTCTCGTGCCAACAGGATAACTCTCACACATAAGGCGAGTACACGGGAGTACATGTAAATGGTCAATAATATCAGGATTCATCTTCTTAACCGATATGGGTGATTTATTAACGTGTATGCTTGTGCAAGTGTTCTACCACAATTTTAGTCAACAAGTAAGAGTAGAGACAATGAATGGCACACAAGAAATGATCAGCACCAAATGTATACGGTATAACTCACACAAGGTAGGCACACCACTACATAAATAACAATAATAGCAATGCACTCAGGCCATCACAAGTCATCAAAAATCATTTTCCGATATAGCCCACCTTGTCTTGCCACGTGCGCCATAATAAAGTAAATGCACGCCTTGTCTCACCGCACGTGCATAATAATATTCTCACCTTGTATCGCCACATGCGCAAACCCACATATATAGCCCGCCTTGTCACGTCGCATGTGCAAATATCAATAATAATAATAGCACGGACAACTCACGTGCGAACACCCCAACAATCCTCTCAACAATACCATATGTCCCAAAACATAACAACATAATAAAATGACTTTCACAACATGTGCCCATATGACGCAATATTTTCTCAAAACAGTTTCAATACCATAACCCCGCATAGCCCTCGGCTCAACAATACTGGGTACAACAGCAGTAACAACAATAACACGAGAATACGTCAAGTAAATCAAATCAAGAACTTCAAAACACAAAGAAACGAATGAACGAGCTCACAATGAAAGAGATAACAGAGAATAATGGTTTCAACAAGAATATCTCAACAAAGGGAGAGGTAGCGCGCAACAATGATTTCCGCATAAGTACAACTTTACGGTAAAAGAGATAGCACGAATTAATGATTCTAAATAAGGATAAAACAATAAAAGAGATAACAAAACTTTAATTAAGATTGAGCTATTACAGAAAAGATACTAATAAATTCAATTAAGGATAAGCAATTACGGAAAAGATATTAATAAATTCAACTAAGGATAAGCAATTACGGAAAAGATATTAATAAATTCAACTAAGGATAAGCAATTACAAAAAAGATAATAATGACTTCAATTAAGGATAAGATATTACGGAAAAGATAGCATGGCAATAAAAGAGGCAACATCTTCAATTAAGGCACATAAGCGTTTTATTGGCAACAAGGGTAAAACATGAATCAATTAATTTCAAATAAGACACGTAAGGGTAAATTTAGTAAATGAGGGATTTAACATACTAAAACAACTTCACATCTAATGAACATAAGAACCTAAGATCCCTAAACGATCAAATTTCCATAAATAAGCGCTAGTACGTACTCGTCACCTTGCGTACACGGCCTTCACATGACACAATTAGAACAAATGACTCAAATTCTAAGGGGTTGTCCCCCCTCCCCCCCCCCTCCAAAGTTAGAAAAGATACTTGCCTCAAAGAAGCTAGATCGTTACACTAAAATGACCTTCTCGAGTGAAACAACCTCTGGACGGCTCAAATATTGCCAAAATAACTTCAAATCATAAATAAAACTCATAGAAGAAGATTCTGGATAATAAAGCTTCAATCTTTAACAAAAACTAAAAAGTCAACCTCGGGCATGCACCTCAGAACCCGACAAAATTCACAAAATTCGAACACCCATTCGATTACGAGTCCAACCATACTAATTTCATTTAACTCCAACTCCGAATCGATACTCAAAACCCAATTATTCTCTTTAGAAATATTTTTGATAAAACAAAACCCCAATTCTCCAATCAAAATATGGATTAATTCAAAAATGAACTTTTATAATCATACTAAAATAAAAAAAATTGTAGTTTGATACTGACCCCCATGAAAATACTAGAAGAACGCCGTGAAAGTCACCTCAATCGGAGCTCTAGAACTCACGATATGCTCAGAATACTAAATAAACGCGGTCTGATTTTTTAATACAGAGGGAATTTCGCTTCTGCAACCAAAACTCCGCACCTGCGGTCTGCCAGCTGTAATTTCCGCATTTACGAACCATTTTCGCACATACGGGGTTGCAGATGCGGACCAGACCAAACTTCGCATCTGCGAAGCACCAGCACCATCTCTCTTCTCTGACACTAAAATGAGCATAACTCCCTCAAACGATATCCAAATTCGACGATTTTTTTTTTGCTATTGCTCCGTAATTATGATACGGATCTAATGCTTCACAAAACAGAAATTGGAGCTCATTTGCTTAATTTGGTACTATTTATTCATGAAGAAACGACGTCGAAACATCAAAAAACGAGCGCAACACAACACAAACGTATCTGAAACTCACCCGAGCCCCTCGGGACCCCGTCCGAACATACCAATAAGTCCCAAAACCTAACGCAGTCCTGCTCGAGGCCTCAAATCACATCAAACAACATCAAAACTATGAATCATACCTCAAATCGAACTTAATGAACTTATGAACTTTCAACTTCTACAACTCGCGCTGAAACATATCAAATCAACCCAGAATGACGTCAAATTTTGCATGCAAGTCTCAAATGATATAACGGAGCTAATCCAACTCTCGGAATTGGAATCCGAGCCCCTTATAAAAAAGTAAACTCCCGGTTAGACCTCTTAAGCTTCTAAAACTTCAACTTTCCAATTTTCGCCAAAATGCTTCAAATTATCCTACGGCCCTCCAAATCAAAATCCAGACGCACGCCTAAGTCTAAAATAATACCATACGAAGCTATTGGAATCATCAAAACGCCATTTTGGAGTCACCTATGCAAAATTCAAACTCCGGTCATCTTTTACCATTTATGCATCTAAAACAAGAATCCTTCTTTCAAATTGATCCTGAATCATCCGAAATCCGAACTCGACGACACACGCTAGTCATAATACATAATACGAAGTTGCTCGAGACCTTAAGCCGCCGAACGGGATGCTAATTCTCAAAATGACTGGTTGGATCGTTACATTCTCCCCTTCTTAAACAAACGTTCGTCCTCGAACGTGCCAAGAACAATTTCGAAGTCATCAATCATTGTGTCAACATACCATAAATGCACCTGCGGGTGACCCCACATCACCCCAAATCAACGTAAGCCTGACAAACACCACCTCAACTGAAGATTTTCCCTTCCACCAATATCAATAGGGCTTAGAACCAAATTTCTCATCATCCGATCGTTTCCAAAAGTTCTGATTCATACATCAACACACAGTATCAGCCTCAACCAGCTGCAATAACCTATGTCTACACTCACCAGATACAAACACACGACGTANTTGGATCTATTGGCACGTGAGTCGTCAGTGTGGTTATGAGGTGTTATGAGGTCACAGGATGCCAAGTGTTAGGGTTCAGGTATTGAGACCCGTGAGTTGTGAATTGTCCGAGGTTCGGTACCTCGTGGAGTTGTTGACTAAGACCTGATGTAAAAGCGGTTGTAATTACTGAGTTATTATTTGTCCTTGTTGTACTCGTGATTCAGGATTTAGGTTGTGTTCCATTTACTTTGTCTGTGTCATTTTCATGATATTCCGTTGATACTTGTTGTTTCCTTCCTTATTGCCATTACTGTATTGTGAGCCATATTGCATAGTCTTTATGTAGACATCATACTTCTGTTATCCATGTACTTATATCTGTTCAGTTTATTAGACCAGTGGGTGTCTTGACTGTTCCTCGTCACTACTCCACCGAGGTTAGTCTTGATACTTACTAGGCACCGCTGTGGTGTGCTCATATTACTCTTCTGCATATTTTTGTACAGATCTAGGTACTTGTTCATTAGCTAGCTGTGTGGACTGTTGCTGTGGAGACTCAAGGTAAACCTGCTGCATTCGCAGGCTTCGGAGTCACCTTCCAATTTTCGTTTTGCACTGTTTATCCTCATTTCTGGACAGTTGTATTTAGAAGTTTTCTAGCAAACACTTTGTAGAGCTTATGACTTGTACTACCGGTTTTGGGAATTTTAAGAGATTCTATTTAAATAATGTTGTTGTTTTAATTATTGTTAGGCTTACCTAGACCCTAAAACTAGGTGCCATCACGATACCCAACGGAGGGAAAATTAGGTCGTAACAGCCTGCCCAAAGCCAGGCTCCTATTCTACACATTAATTTTGATAAGTGAGCACATGATTAATACTTGGACAAAATCAGTCCTCTGATTCACCACATGGATTGGGATAAATATTTTTGACTCGGTTTTAATTATATTCCATGATTCCATAAGCCTGACAAACACCACCTCAACTGAAGATTTTCCCTTCCACCAATACCAATAGGGCTTAGAACCAAATTTCTCACCATCCGATCGTTTCCAAAAGTTCTGATTCATACATCAACACACGGTATCAGCCTCAACCAGCTGCAATAACCTATGTCTACACTCACCAGATACAAACACACGACGTAACACATTAAACATATGTCCATAACAACATCTCTGATCACAATAGTCGTCCATACTTAAACCCAGCACCGGCAATTAACCTCATATAAGCTAGAACCCTATTCCAAACTTCCACAACACCGACAACGATGCAAGAAACACGAAGACGCCATGACTATTCACTCAAATCAACAAGTCACACCCAACACCACTTGGGCACACACCTTGCAAGCTAAAACCCAATAAGCACAGCACGAATATGACTGAATATACAAGGGAACACAAGAAAGAACTATCAAACAAGCCCGACAAGCACAACTCTCAATCAGTAGCATACTATGAATTAATTCCACAAGGGAGAATCAAAGTATATGAACAAATCACAAGGATCTCATCCTAATATAACTTCACCGTAGCACGCAACCCGGTCCAAACATAACAAACCTCGTGGAAACGCGAGGATCGCATCCTCATCTCTGAATTACAAGTACATTACATATCATACCAACCGAAACCTTCCACTAATTCAATTTCCGCTAACAACACATGCTAAACTCCCACACCGGTAGAGCATCTAATTCACAAACCGTAACCAACCACCCAGAAATCATATCAAAACCTACCATAATGGGTAACAAAAAGTCATTCCTAGTCTCATAGCTCTCAATAATGAATAAAACAAAACGATAGATGCGGGCTACCACTATAGAATCTCCCAACAGAGGTAAACACATAAGCATAGTACAAAATCATGAAACTCACCCATATATGAAGCAACATAAGAAGACTCACCCTGATAAGCAGAACCGAAATAAAATACGAATGATGCTCCTCTATAATAAATAGAAACCATACTTGTACGACATCATCTGGTGCAACGGCCTCATCCCTACCGTAGAAAGCACATAAATGGTTGTGCCTCTCCTCTTGGGCGCCCTCTACCCGCCTGACCTGCACCTCAAGCTGGAAGTGTAGGGATATCAGCAACTGGAGTAGAACTCATAGCATGAATACCCCGCTGTGACAAATCTGTTCGGAGTCTGGGACAATCTCTCACCATGTGGCTGGTATATCCACACTTAAAACAACCTCTCCGTTGGCGTGGCTGTTGAAGCTATCAAACACAGGCACTTTGAGACCCATTGATTTCTGAAGCACCGCGCAAAGCCTGAAGTGCAAACTGAACTAACTGACCCATATAACCTCTACCATGGCGTACTCTGCCTCCAAAATGGGGACTAGTAGATCCTCCCAAACTGGGAGGCTAAGTCCTCTTAGCCTCCATGTCATCTCTCTACTGACCCCGCATGTCCTCTCCTTCCAGGTCTCGCATGCCCTCTAGTCGTCGAGCGGTCACTACCACCTACTGAAATTGATCATCTGACTCCAACTCCCGAGCCATGTTGAACCGGATATCATGACTGAGCCCCTCAATGAACCTACGGAGGGTAATACTTCTTGAACCTCGCAAGTCTAAGTTGTTCTTTATTAGATGATGCTACCCTAATAACGAGCTGAACTGGAACAACTGGCAGTGCCGGCACCACACCCGGAACCTGACTAATGTGAGCCCACTACTTTAAGGCGCGGGCGGCGAGAATCTGAGCTCATCCCCCGGTCTGTGAAGTAGCCGGTGCAACCGGAATCAACCCCGCCTAAGCCAATGTACCAAACATGCTCAAAAACTATTAAGGTCTCCTGAAGTCCAGGGACAACAACAGGCGCCTCCGATGCCCGTCCCCCAACATGAGCCACTGGAGGTTCCTCAACTGCTGCTCTGACAGATGCTCTAGCTGTAGCACGTGCAAAACCCAAACAACTAGCTATTGATCAACCAACTCCGAAATACCTGAATCTGCACAAAAATATGCAGAAAACGTACCATGAGTACACCACAACGGTACCTAGTAAGTATCAAGACTAAACTAGGTGGAGTAATGACGAGGGATAGTCAAGATACCAATTGGACTAAACAACCTGAACAAGTACGAAGGTGAAATAATGGGGAAACAATGTTAATATAAAGCTAAGCATGGTAAGGAAGAAAAAACAATACTCGCAATGAAACACTAGAAACAACAATTAGCAACAAGAAGCAAACGGATAGTAATGGAGTAGAATAAGTTGGACACAGTCTAAGTCCAATGAAACCAAATAAAGGAAAACAAGTAACAACTCAACAAGAACAACCGCTTTTACACCAGATCTATTCAGGAATTTTCACGAGGTACCTCATAATCACAAATCATGAGTCCCAATTCTTGAACCCTAATCACTTGACCTCTTGTTCCCACATTACAAATTCATAACCACACGGACAACTCACATGCCAAGAGAGTGACAATATCTAATATTCGCATGGACTACTCACGTGCCAACAATAACAATGACTCATGACTGCACGAACGACTCACGTGCCAACACAATAACTCTCACACAGAAGGCAAGTACACGGGAGTACATGTAAATGGTCAATAACATCAGGATTCATCTTCTTAACCGATATGGGTGATTTATTAATATGTATGCTTGTGCAAGTGTTCTACCATAATTCAAGTCAACAAGTAAGAGTAGAGACAATGAATGACACATAAGAAACGATCATCACAAAATGCACATGGTATAACTCACACAGGGTAGGCACACCACTACACAAATAACAACAATAACAATGCCCCTAGGCCATCACAAGTCATCACAAATTATTTTCCGACATAGCCCTCTTGTATCGCCACGTGCGCAATAATAAAGTAAATGTCTGCCTTGTCTCGCCACGCGCATAATAATATTCTCCCCTTGTCTTGCCACATGCGCAAACCCACATATATAGCCCACCTTGTCACGTCGCATGTGCAAATATCAATAGTAACAATAGCACAGATAACTCAAGTGCGAACACTCCAATAATCCTCTCAACAATACCACGTGTGCCAAAACATAACAACACAATAAAATAACTTTTACAACATGTGCCTATATGCCACAACATTTCCTCAAAACAGTTTCAATACCACAACCACGCATAGCCCTCGGCTCAACAATACTGGGTACAACAACAACAACAACAACAATAACAAGAGAATACATAAGTACAACTAGGCGGTAAGAGAGATGGCATGAATCAATGATTCTAAATAAGGATAATTCAACAATGAAAGGGATAACAAAACTTCAATTAAGGTTGAGCAATTACGGAAACGATACTAATAAATTTAATTAAGGATAAGCAATTACGGAAAAGATACTAATAAATTCAACTAAGGATAAGCAATTACAAAAAAGATAATAATGACTTCAATTAAGGATAAGCAATTACGGAAAGGATAATAATAACTTCAATTAAGAATAAGCAATTACAGAAAGGATAATAATAACTTCAATTAAGGATAAGATATTACGAAAAAGATAGCATGGCAATAAAAGAGGCAACATCTTCAATTAAGGCACATAAGTGTTTTATTGGAAACAAGGGTAAAACATGAATCAATTAATTTCAAATAAGACACGTAAGGGTAAATTTAGTAAATGAGGGATTTAACATACTAAAACAACTTCACATCTAATGAACCTAAGAACCCTAAACGATCAATTTTCCACAAATAAGCACGAGTACGTACTCGTCACCTTGCGTACTTGGTCTTCACATGACATAATTAACACAAATGACTAAATTCTAAGGGGTAGTTTCCCCCATACAAAGTTAGAAAAGTTACTTACCTAAAAGTAGCTAGACTGTTACACTAAAATAACCTTCTCGAGGGAAACAACCTCTGGACGACTAAAATCTAGCCAAAAATAACTTCAAATCATAAATAAAACTTATAGGAAACGATTCCGGATAATAAAGCTTCAATCTTTAACAAAAACTAAAAAGTCAACCCCGGGCCCGCACCTCGAAAACAAACAAAATTTATAAAATCCGAACACTCATTTAATTACGAGTCAAACCATACTAATTTCATCCACTTCCAACTCCGAATCGATGTTCAAAACGCAATTATTCTCTTTAGAAAAGTGTTTTGATAAAACCCCCCAATTCTCCAATCCAAACATGGATTAATTCAAAAATAAACTTCTGTAATAATAATAAAATACAAAAATTATAGTTATATACTGACCCACATGAAAATACGAGAAGAACGCCGCAAAATTCACCTCAATTGGAGCTCTAGAACTCAAGATATGCTCAAAATACTAAATAAACGCAGTCTGATTTTTTTAATACACAGGGAAATTCGCTTCTGCAACCAAAACTCCGCACCTGCAGTCTGCCAGCTGTAATTTCCGCATTTGCGGATCATATTTTGCAGATGCGGGGTCGCAGATGCGGACCCAACTTTGCATCTGCGAAGCATCAACACCAGCTCTTTTCTCCGATACTAAAATGAGAATAACTCCCACATATGATGTCCAAATTCGACGATTCTTTTTGCTATGGCTCCGTAATTACGATACAGATCTAATGCTTCAATCAACAAATAAATTGGAGCTTATTTTCTTAATGTAGTACCATTTATGTTTGAAGAAATGACGTCGAAAAATAAAAAACGAGTACAACACAACCCAAACCTATCAGAAATTCACCCGAGCCCCTCGGGACCTCGTTCGAACATACCAATAAGTCCTAAATCATAACGCGGACCTGATCGAGGCCTCAAATTATATAGAACAGCATCAAAACTACGAATCGCACCTCAAATCGAACTTAATGAACTTATGAACTTTCAACTTCTACAACTCGCGCTGAAACATATCAAATCAACCGGGAATGACGTCAAATTTTACGTGCAAGTCTCAAATGACATAACAGAGCTAATTCAATTCTTGGAATCACAATCCGAGCCCCATATTAACAAATTTAACTTCCGGTAAAACCTCTTAACCTTCCAAAACTTCAACTTTCCAATTTTCGCCAAAATGCTTCAAATTATCCTACGGCCCTCCAAATCCAAATTTGGACGCACGCCTACGTCCAAAATCACTATACGAAGTTATTGAAATCATCAAAATGTTATTTTGGAGTCGTCTACACAAAAGTCAAACTTCGGTCAACTCTTACCATTTAAGCTTCTAAAAGAAGAATCCTTCTTTCAAATTGATCCCGGGTTCCAAACCCAACAACAGTTAAAGGAAAAGAAACAGAAGAATAAAACTAACCAACGGAGCAAATATAGAACTACAAAAACTCAACAAACACCACAATCTCTTGTCAGTATATAGTAGAAATTGATGTGCAACATACAAAAAAAAAACATAAATTCAGCGGAGAAGCGAAGGGAATCTCGAGAAAGCGAAGAGGGAGATGCTGAGGAAATTTTGGTAAAGTAGAGATTTAAGCGGTGGGAGTCAGAGTGGCTTGCGAAATTACCTATGTAGACTTTCTATAAACAAACCAAGTCAGCCAGTACAGGGACACAACAGGAATTTGGATAGCACAAGAGCTACGAAATTACCCCATCGGCAAGCAAATATGTCGACGAAGACGTGTCTGTGTCACCTGATGTACTCGCACTTCTAATATAGTAAAAAAAATAGAGTGGCTTGCAAAATTACCTATGGAGTCTTTCTCTAAACAAACCAAGTAAGCCAGTACAGGGACACAACAGGAATTTGGATAGAACAAGAGCGACGAAATTACCCCATCGGTAAGCAGACATGTCGACGAAGACGTGTCTGTGTCACCTGATGTACTCGTACTTCTAATATAGTAGAAAAAATAGAAATTCAGCGGAGAAGCGAAGGGAATCTTGAGAAAGCGAAGAGGGAGATGCAGAGGAAATTTGGTAAAGTTGAGATTTAAGTGGTGGGAGTTAGAGTGGCTTGCGAAATTACCTATGTAGTCTTTCTCTAAACAAATCAAGTAAGCCAGTACAGGGACACAACAGGAATTTGGATAGCACAAGAGCGACGAAATTACCCCATCGGCAAGCAGACATGTCGACGAAGACGTGTCTGTGTCACTTGTTTCAGCCATCAGAAGCTATAACATGGATCCTTCAATCCATTTTTGATGGATATTTTTAATACAAATAACACATCATATGACAAATGGACCACTATAGTGGGATGCCCAGTGATACAAGAACAAATTTGATTGTAAAACATAAAATACTTGGCCCTATTTGGGATGATGTAAAATAATTTTCTTTCAAATTCTTTGTATTTGGTTGTCTAGAAGTGAAAATTATATTTTTGTAAATGGAAGAATTCCCCACCTCCACTCTCCATTATATTATATTGCACAAACTTTTTGTCCGACAAAACACCAAAGATAGGAAAATTCTAGAATTGAAGAGACAAAACAATGGAGCAAATCAATCATATCTCAAAGCCAAACTACGAACATTTTGAAACAGATAGCAAGTATAAACCAAGAAAGGCTTGTAGATCAGTTGGTGTTATTATCAACCCCAATTAAAACAAAAGGATTAAAAAGCACCGTGCTTCAATACCAACAAAGAAACTGTTGAAAATGTTTAAATTCAAATAACAACTTCTTACTGAGGTGTTGAACAATCAAACTTTGATCAGAAAAGATAAGCACGAAGAAGTTGAAGAACATACAATGAAGTGGATAAGGATATATAAGCAACTAAATATTTTTCGAGAAGAGAACACCCAAGAGATTCTGGGTATTTCTATATCAAAAAGAAAAAAATACACTGAAAATTTAGCTTTGACAAACACACAAATAGTAGCCTAAACTGCTAAATTGAATCAATTTACGTGGATCCTAGAGGAAACAATCCAAACCCAACAACAGTTGAAGGAAAAGAAACAGAAGAGTAAAACTAACCAACGGAGCAAATATAGAACTGCAAAAACTCATCAAACACCACAATCTCTTGTCAATATATAGTAGAAATTGATGTGCAACATACAACAAAAAAAAATTTAGTGGAGAAGCAAAGGGAATCTCGAGAAAGTGAAGAGGGAGATGCGGAGGAAATTTTGGTAAAGTAGAGATTTAAGTAGTGGGAGTCAGAGTGGCTTGCGAAATTACCTATGTAGTCTTTCTCTAAACAAATCAAGTCAGCCAGTACAGGGACACAACAGGAATTTGGATAGCACAAGAGCTACGAAATTACCCCATCGGCAAGCAGATACGTCTGTGTCACCTGATGTACTCGCACTTCTAATATAGTAGAAAAACAGAGTGGCTTGCGAAATTACCTATGTAGTCTTTCTCTAAACAAACCAAGTAAGCTAGTACATGGACACAACAGGAATTTGGATAGCACAAGAGCGACGAAATTACCCCATCGGCAAGCAGACATGTCGACGAAGACATGTCTGTGTCGCCTGATGTACTCGCACTTCTAATATAGTAGAAAAAATAGAAATTCAGCGGAGAAGCGAAGGGAATCTTGAGAAAGCGAAGAGGGAGATGCGGAGAAAATTTGGTAAAGTAGAGATTTAAGCGGTGGGAGTCAGAGTGGCTTGCGAAATTACCTATGTAGTCTTTCTCTAAACAAACCAAGTAAGCCGGTACAAGGACACAACATGAATTTGGATAGCACAAGAGCGGCGAAATCACCCCATCGGCAAGCAGACATGTCGACGAAGACGTGTCTGTGTCACCTGATGTACCCGCACTTCTAATATAGTAGAAAAAATAGAAATTCAGCGGAGAAGCGAAGGGAATCTTGAGAAAGCGAAGAGGGAGATGTGGAGGAAATTTTGGTAAAGTAGAGATTTAAGCGGTGGGAGTGAGAGTGGCTTGCGAAATTACCTATGTAGTCTTTCTCTAAACAAACCAAGTCAACTAGTACAGGGATACAATAGGAATTTGGATAACACAAGAGCGACGAAATTAACCCATCGGCAAGCGCATAATTTCCCTACTTTTCCACCATGACAGAGTAAAGATCTTTGTTACCAACATATTACTCCTTCCTTTTGAAATCAGAAGACGTGTCTGTGTCACCTGATATACTCGCACTTCTAATATAGCAGAAATATATAATATAATCCCTTCATTTCAATTTATATAATCGTGCCAAAAAGAATGATTCATTTTCATATTTTGAAATAATTTAACTTTATAGAATGATTCATTTTCATATTTTGAAATAATTTAACTTTATACAATGATTTATAACCACACAAAATATATACATTAACTTATTTTATGCTACAAGTTTAAAAGGAGGTATTCACATAACTTGAAACAGAGAGAGTATATAATATATGCAGCGGAGCTGGAGCGCATCTTGACTTGTGGTCTGGAGCGCATCTTGACTTGTGGTCTGCAATGTTAGAATCGCAGAGCAGCTAACTCTTCTTTTCCTTGTCTCTGTTGAGAATTAAACTCACAAAGCGTAACCATGAATATTTTTGTTTTTGTTTTTTGGGTTCTCTTTTTATTTTCTATAGTGTGGAAAACTATTTCAGATATTTCAAGTGACTACCTTTGATGGGTTTTCTGCTTTCAAATGACAAAATTGCAAGTCATATATATCATAGCTGCTGCAGCAAGTGTTGCATCAAGTGTTGCATCAAGCTATTAATTTAGAGGTTGAAGCAGGTGGATGTCCATTAAAAGATTTTTTAAACAAAAAATTATAGGAGAAAAGAAAAGGAAAATCTCTAATCGACATATACCTGACTCACACTGTAAGCTGACAGCTTGGTACAACACTTGCAACTTGTATCATGTCTGTACGAAATTATAATATTTACTTCTGTGTCTGTATCTAGAATTTATAATATGTGGGTTCTGAGTTGAAAGAGTGAATCTGAAAATGCATAACTAACTCTATATTTACTTTTCTTGTACAGTTATAAAGTTCGACGTTGAAGCACTGATTCTTCTGAACCCACGAGCCCATTGCTAGATCAGTCACTGGTGTTTGTCTGTATGTATTTACATATTTTCTTTTGATATTTTGGATAAGCAGTTAGCTGAGATTTGCCACTTTGATTTTGTTCCTTTTTATCCTTGTAGTAGATGATACTCAAAGGATCATTATGCAGTTTGGATAAAAGGAGTAATAGATTATAGAGATACTGTTAAACCTAGGCTCAATGGTTGTAGGCTTGTAGCAATTAAAAGTTTTGTCTAATAGGAAATGCAGAGACTATTAATCAGATTGGATTGAGGAAATATTTACTTGGATTTTGTAAGATTGATATTTTGGTAGGAAGGAGTCACTTTTTGAGTGAGATGGAATGTCAAGTTAATTGGAGAAGTAAGTTCCTAGACAATAGGCTTCCCTATAGTTGAAATCAGTTGGAAAAGGCTAATAAAGCTGAAGATGGTTAAGTTGGTTTTATTCTGAAGAGAAACAGAACTAAAAGAGTAATGTATATTGCTAATTGTGAAGCAATCAGATTTCTCTTTATTGAAGAGAAATCAGCATACTTTTGGGAATGCTATTGGGTAGCTATTGAAAAACAATGAACATGGTACTTCTGCAAGAACCATTTTTCTTTGCAAGCTATAAGAATATAATTCGTAAAGTTGCCCACTAACTCGGGCGATAGTAGGACCGGACATGCTTATGACCATATATTCCTTCAAGGGAACTTTACTGTTGTCAGCTTCTATGTCTAACTTTTTATCAAGTTAGATAAATTCTATCCATGAGGAATACTTTTGTCCATTGCTATTCAAGTTTAACTTCATTTTGGTGTCGAATATCTCTTACTTTTACTTATAATAGCTCTATATATCATGGCATAAGACTTACGCCCGTAAGCGGGATTTCCTTTTGAATTATGTATAATCTTGTAATCTTTCACCAATTGCCATAGAGAGTGCTCTATTTTTGTAAAGAAACTAACTGCATGATACCAGTCTCACCTTTCTGTGGTTTTCTCTACTGTTGTTTTCAGCTTCCGAAAAGCATCGGATCGTTTGCTAATTCCTACCAGGTTAAAGCCACAATGGTAGGGTCTAGTCTAAAGAAAGACATAATAGGGTTAATAACTGACAGGAATCACTTGCCATTTTGTTCCTTCTTTTTTATGACCAGATGGTTGAGTGATTATCTTCACATCATGCTGTGTGCTTATTCTTGCAATTGTGGATTGGGGTTTCCAAAATGTTGTATTATAGTGTAGCAGGATCAGTTCTTTAGTCATGCTTGTCGGTTAGTCTGTGGTTTAATATAGCAAATGATTGTGCAATATGTGTTTTTTGGATGCTTTATACCCTATTTGGAGATAGATCCTAGTGTCTAAAAGCTTTAAGTTGAGCAAGACCAAGATAGAATACTTAGAGTGCAACGTGACTCAGGAAGCGGATGTAGATGTGAGGCTTGATACTCAAGTCATCCCCAAGAGAGGAAGTTTCAAGTACCTTAGGTCAGTAATCCAAGGAAATGGAGAGATTGACGAGGATGTCACACATCGTATCGGAGCGGGTAGATGAAATGGAGGCTCACAACTGGTGTTCTATGTGGTAAAAATGTGCCACCAAAACTTAAAAGGTAAATTCTACAGTGCGGTGGTTAAACCGACTATGTTGTATGGGGCGAAATGCTGGCCAGTCAAGAAACAAAAATGAGAATGTTGAGATAGATGTGCGGGCATAACAGGATAAATAAGACTAGGAATTAAAATATTGGGGACAAGGTAAGCGTGGCCCCCATGAAAGACAAGATGCGGGAAGCGAATCTTAGATGGTTCGGGCATATGAAGAGAAGAGGCATATATGCCCTAGTGAAGAGGTGTGAGAGGTTGGCCTTGGTGGGTCTGAGGAGAGGTAGAGGTAGGCCAAAGAGGTATTGTGCAGAGATGATTAGGTAGGACATGACACTGCTTCAGCTTACCGAGGACATTGACCCTTGATAGGAGGGTGTGGAGATCGGGAATTAGGATAGAAGTTTAGTAAGTAGTCGTGCGTTTTCCTTGTCCATACCAGTAGTACTAGTGTTAGCCTTGTACTTTTTTTTTTTTTTTGATTTCTATTACTATCTGTTGTTTCTTTCGCTTCGATTCCTTGCTATCTTGCTATCTTGCTAGTGTTGTTGTTGTTGTTGATAAAAGGGAACTGCCAATAATAAATGAATTAGAATGTACAAGCAGATTCAAGTGTTATAGAATATACAAGCAGATAGCTAGGAATTGACAATGCAAACTTGTCTATAACCTAGCACTTGATCCAAATCTGGAATAACTATAGTTTTGGTTTTTCCTACAGCTAAACAAAGGCTTTCCTGGAACAGGTAAGCATTTTATGAGCCAACTAACTGGCCATGACAGAGCAGCTATCCCAATGCACACTTTCCACTGCTGCCAATTCAACCTCTCTGTACATGCAAACTTCTTCAGCATTTCTACCATTGCAACCTGGATAAGGACTATCATTCCCACTATCCCCCAAAATAACCTCTTTGTTCTTAGCTCCCCCAGGAGATCTCCTTCATACTTTCTCATGTTGAATATGTTGAAGAGTTGACAGAGCACAAAGATGTTGAATATCATGGTGTCTTTTTCCTTGTCACTTAATTGGTATGTTGATTCACCTGTGAATTGGATGGTCAGCAAAACCGAGATCTGGTACGGAGCTTGGCCCAAGATATTCTTCCACATAATATTGGTTATAAATGGCTCATTTTGGTAAGTTGGTGGCTGTTGCATGAGCTTTGTTCCAGGCTCATCTATAGTGAGAGCCAGAGCTGCTAATGTGCCCACCATTAGCTTTACCCAAAGTACCTGAAGCATTGCATAGGGAACTTTGCCTGCTGAAATTACTGTGACAATGTTGATGGCCACGGGCTCGCTAGCTGAAATTGCTGTCACAATGTCTATCACCAAAGCAGCAATAGTTGCTGTTAGTTGGAATTGTGTGAATACCTGAACATTGTTATATGTGGTTCTTCCCCAACTTAGAACTCTGGCTACGGAAGCAAAGTTATCATCTATGATGACAATATCTGAGCTGTCCCTTGCGGTATCAGTTCCTTGATTACCCAGTGAAATCCCCACATTGGCTTCTCTAAGTGCTTCTGCATCACCCACACTTTCTCCAGTAACTGCAACAGCATGACCATTCTTTTGCAAGCATCGTACTATCAGAAGCTTGTCCAATGTTGAGGCTCTTGCGATCACACAAATGTTTTCAACTCTCTCCAATCTTTCATCTTCAGCATATTCTTGGAATTCTGTTCCTTCTATGACTTCTCCAGTGGATATGCCATGATTAGGCTCAAGTATACCACAATCGACAGCTGATGCACGAGCTGTGTGGATATCATCCTTTGTAATGATTTTGATGTTCACACCCGCATTTTGGCAGTTCATCACAGCTTTCCTTGCTTGTTCTCTACATGGAGCTTTCAGACCTACAAATGCTAATAAGATCGAATCATCTTCTTTGATCTTGGGATGGAAATGCCCTTCACAATCAATCGGATGTTCTTCTGGTACACTTCTATATGCAAAAGCAACACAGTGCAGACCATCCATTTTCATCCTTGTAACTGTTCGCTGCAAAGCTGCTCTAGCATCATCATTTATATCTTTGATATCCCCTGTCTCCTTATAGTAACGTGAACACATGCTCAGTCATGCCTCTGGAGTTCCTTTGTGGTGCATATGGACTCTGCTGTCAGCATTCCTCCTGATCAAAACATGCCCTTGGTATTCTGAGTAGAAGCTTTCGCCGTAGACAACTGTACGGCTGTTTTTCAGTTGTTCTACATCCATCTTCATGCTTTTGATGCCCCAGGCCAAAATTGCATTTTGAATTTGCTCCTCAATGTGTTCAAATGAAGTTCCTGGTTGGCTCTTGGTATTGTTCAGAGCCATTCCCTCATGAAGCAGATCAAGAATTTCTGGTGCGAATGAGGAGAAAGTACCTCTTCCAATATATTTTTGGCCTAGCCAAAATTGGCTGACCTGCAGAGAACTTTCAGTCAGTACGCCTTCCTTATTCGTACAAATCACTGTTGCGGAGGCCATTGCTTCACAAGCTGAAAGACTTCTGACAAGTGCCTGATCAGCGATCATCTTCTTGGTTGAGTAAGCTATAGTTAACGCACAAGCTAGTGTCAAACCTTCTGGAATGGCTCCCGATGAAATTGCAACTGGAGTTGCTAGAATTCCAATAACGGCTTTCCATACATCTTGTATGCTCGTCTTACCTCCGATGAACAACTTTCTGCCATTGTTTTGCATATTCCCTGAGAAATAGCGGACCAACAGCACTATGAGAACAAATGAACTGAATGCCAGACCAACCTTTGCTATATGTGAAGTCAATTTGTGCAATTTCTTTTGCAAAGGTGATTTATGATCATGATTGAAGCAAGTTGGAGTTATGATTTCTGCCAATGCTGTATTCATGCCTACTGCTGTGACAAGCATTCGACCATTACCCCTCAAGACTTTGCTACCGGATAGCAAGAACAGGTTGCTTCTATTGTTGACCTCCACATGGTCATTTTTCCTTGTTATGGTTGATTCATCAATTTGCAGGGAATTTTGATCTATGTAGAGCCCATCAGCAGGCACCCGATCTCCAGCTCTCAAGCGAATGACATCTCCGACAACTGCAGCAGATAATGAGATACCCGTGTCCTTCCCGTTTCTAATCACAAGAATTGGGACAGCTTCAATAGGCCTCCAAAGTTCATAAAGTTGCCGTTTATGCCAATAGTTACAAGAAGCTGAGAGACTGATGACAAGAAACAAGGCAACTAATATGCTTCCCCCATCAAAGCATCCTTTCAGCCCCTGCTTTTTGACGCCAAAACCAAGGGATAGAACAGCATAGAGTAGTACAATGATGGTGTTGGGATCTTTGAGGCTCTTCAACAGCATTTGCAATAGATTTATTGGTGGCTTCTTAAATGTATTGGTCCCAAAATGTTTGCGTCGGGAAGCAATGTCCTTACCATCACCTAGTATTCCCTTTTCAGGATTTGCTTTGAGAGTAGAAAGCAATCCTTCTACCCCATCAAGCTGATCAAGCTTTTCCACGTCTCTCAATCGAACGAGTTTTGCCAAGGTCGGCTTGCTGATGTTCGAAAAACATTCTGGTTCGATATCAACTGCTGTATAAGATCGAGAGCGTGAAAAGTTGCTCAAGAGCTCAGTCTTGTTTTCAGCAACAATCTTCTTGGCAGAAGATAGCAATGCTCTGGCAGTATAGAGAATTTTAAAGGCCCAGTGCCATCTCTTCCTGGCGGGGGAGCGTAAAGTAGGTACTGATAACTGCACTTGCAAGATGTCACACATGATTTTGGTATAATATCCAAATGGGTGACTGAAGATGTTTCTAGTTTGAGAATCTGGTGAGCTTAAAATATTCTTGAAATGTATATTTTTGAAGAGGAAAAACTGGATTCTTTTGCTGCATCGAAAATCCGATTATATAGTACGAAGTTCATAGTCAAAATTAAACCGTGTCTGCACCGTGTACCGTACAGATAGGATGATAAGAGTGAGGAGTGATATACCTTTGGAAGTTGCAATGAAAGTTAAGGTCACTAAAGATCTTTGTTTTTGCATGCTTGTCTTTTTGTTCCTGACTTGAGCAGTGGTCTTTGTTTAAAGCTAATTACAGTATTGGATACCAGCTTGGCCATAATTGTATTATATCAGAAAATGGAAATGATTGAATTATCATGAAATGATGAGGGTACTGCCGTACTGGAAAATACTTACCCAAAAAGCTAAAGGAAAAAAGGTTAAAAGGTGAGCATAGTGATGGGGTGAAAGCTCATTATTGTCATAGTTTCCATTGTTTGGAAAACATGCATGTAGTTAACGAAGTTCCCATAATTGATAATTAGCGATGTAAATTATTTTTACATTATCAGTAAATTTTAACTAGTAATAGCAAGTTAGTTATTTTTTTTACTTAGATCACTAATTTGCTAATATTAATTATAGAAATTTACTTCTAATTACTTTAAATGATTTGATTGCATAAATATATTATAATATCCGTGCATCTAACTTATTGATATACTATATATAGCATGTCGTCAACAAAGTTCCCACGCATTGATTATAATACTTGTACACTAATAGCCTGTTTGGCCAATATAACGACCCGATCGGCCGTTTTGAGCATTTGCATTCAGTTCAGTGGTTTGAGGTCATGAGTAGCTTCATATGATATATTACGACTTGTGTGTATCGTCGGTTTTGGTTTTTGAGTGATTCAGGATCGATTCGGAAGAATGATTCTCATTTTGGAAGCTTTAAGTTGGAAGAGTTGACCAAAGTTGACTTTTATGTATATGATAACGGATCGGAGTTATGATAATTCTGTTAGGTCCGGATGGTGATTTTGGACATAGGTGTATGTCCGAATTTGTATTTGGATATTTCTAGAAGGTTTTGGCGCTATTTGGTGAAAGTTGGCAATTTGAATGTTTGAAATGTTTATAAGTTTAACCAGGAGTTTACTTTGATGATATCGCGTTTGGATTATTGTTCCGGGAGTTGGAATAGGTTTGTTATATCATGGAATTTGTGTGCAAAATTTGAGGTCATTCCGAGTTGATTTGATGTGGTTCGGCACAAGTCTTGAAAGTTGAAAGTTCAAAAGCCCATTAAGTTTGATTTGAAGTTCGATTCTTGGTTTTGATGTTGTTATGTGTAATTTGAGGCCTCGAGTAGGTCCGCGTTATATTTTGAGATTTGTTGGTATGTCCGGACGGGATACCGAGGGGCTCGGGTGAATTTCAAGGTGGTGTCAGATCATTTTCATGTCAGAATTGGAATAGTTTCGTTATGTCATTTGGGACTTGTGTGCAAAATTTGAGCTCATTCCGAGTTGATTTGATATGTTTCTGCGCGCGTCTTGGAAGTTGGAAGTTCATCAATTTTGATTTAAGATGCGATTCGTCATTTCGATGTTGTTATGCGTGATTTGGGGCCTCGAGTAGGTCCGTTTTATGTTATGGGACTTGTTGGAATATTCAGAAATGGTTCCGAGGGACTCGGGTAAGTTCCGGAGTGGAATCAGAGCAATTTTCCTTCATGTTTGATTGCTGGTGTGTTCTAGGCTGCTGGTGCTGATTTTCCTTCTATGCGATCGCGAGGGAAGAAACGCGATCGCAATGTACAATGATGGAGCTGATGCACTTTCTTCTACGCGTTCGCCATTGTAGGATCGCGTTCGTGGAGGTCGAGCGGCTTGTGTAACGCGGTCGCGTGCTTGGGAAGGCGATCGCGTATCAACGTGGGTGCTGGGCAAAGATGTCTTCACGTTCGCGTGTATCAGGGCGCATTCGCGTAGCTTTATTCCAGTGGTCTGCGCATTCGCATAGTTTGTCTCGCGTGCGCGTTGGGTATTTTGAGCAGTGCCATTTTCTCTTCTTCGCGATCGCGTGGATTGTTCCGCGATCGCGATGCATATGACTGTCCAGTGAATTATAAAGTACTCTATTTCGGGGGTTTCAGCCATTTTATCATATTTGGAGCTATGGAGCTCGGATTGAAGCGAATTTTGAAGAGATTTTCACCATATGGACTGAAGTAAGTGTGCTACACTCGGTTTTGATTATATTTCGCGAATCTATCTTCATTTTTGGCAATTGGTTGATGATTTCAAAAGAGAAATTGGGGTTTTTTCTCTAAAATTTCATAAAGTAAAATTTTGAGTTTTGAATATCGATTTGGAGTCGGATTTGAGTGAAACTAGTACGGTTGGACTCGTAATTCAATGAGTTGTTGGATTTTGTGAGTTTTGTCGGGTCCGAGGTGCGAGTCGGGGTTTGACTTTTTGGTTGACTTTGAGCTTTTGATTAAAGATTTGACCTTTATCATTTGGAATTAATTCCTTGGGCTTCATTCGATACATTTGAGTTGCTTTTGGCTAGTTTCGAGTCGTCCGGAGGTCGGTATGCGCGAGATTGCATTTTTGGAGCATCGTTTGGCTTGCTCGGTATTGGATTTGGCTTGTTCGAGGTAAGTAACACTTCTAAACTTGGTGCTGAGAGTATGAAATCCTAAATTATGTGTTATGTGATTGATGTTGAGGTGACGCACATACTAGGTGACAGGCGTGTGAGCGTACACCGTGTGAATTGTGATTTAGTCAATTTCATGGAACTGTGTAGCCATCTTATCTGAACATTTTTAATGTACACTATGTGTTAGAGCACTTGAGCTGTAATTTATGTTAGAAATCATATTTAGGCTATATGATGGAACTATTGGGACCCACAATGGTCGTTCTTCGCTGTTGAGGTATTTGCTTAATTGCAGTTATGTACTCAGTCGCATTCATCATTTCATATCATATCTCAGTCTCTNTATGTGGATCGGGTTTCACGCCGCAACAGGCCTTATAGCTATATGTGGATCGGGCTGCACACCATAACAGGTATTGTACAGTGCTGAGTATTGAGCATGGTGAGAGAGAATACGAGACAATGCGATTGAGTACTCTGAGAGTGTGAGTACATGAGTTCATCACTGAGATACATTGCATTTGACATGTGTACTTGAGATACATGCATAGATATGCATTCCCTTCTGCTACCCGGTTTTGGTGACGTTCATGATTTCACCTGTATATTGACATGTAGGCATAGAGATGTATTTTGCTCATGCTAAAATGAAACATCTTATTTATTGTTGAAAGGGTTTTTGGAGAAATCACAGTTTTCAAACCACTCATATGCTTTTGGGGTTTTCGGTGAAAGATTTGGGATTTACTATTATACTTAAAAAACATGTCTATTTTTCCGTAATTGTGAACGAGTTGGTCATCTTACTTCTGAGTTATTTTCATGTACCCTTTTATTTTATTGTTATGAACTGTTGCTGGTTATTAGAGTTGGACTCTAACCTTTGTCCCAGCTCGTCACTACTTTCGACCTACGGTTAGGTTTGTTACTTATTGAGTACATGTCAGATGTACGCATACTACACTTCTGCACCTTGCGTGCAGATGTTGGATGCTGATGTTGCTATGTACGGCGAGAGCTGGATTTGAAGATGTACCTGAGTTCCATTTATGGCTATCACTTGTCCTTGGTAGCGTTAGATTCAAAATTCTGTTCATTTTTATTTCAAACGGATGTCGTACTTATTTTGATTCAGTTTGTATAAAAATCTAACTCTTAGAAGCTCATGATTTGTACTACCAGTCCTTGGGAAATTCTAATATAAAAGCAGTTGTATTATCATTTCTTTTCTTAATAAATCTCATTAAATTGGATAGTTGTTAATTAGCTTACTTGACAGGTTAGATTAGGTGTCATCACGACTAGTTGGATTTTGGGTGTGACACCACTTCTGCAACATTGTGGTATGTTCATGTGTTCCACTTCTGTGGGCGAGGGACTGTAGGTGCGAGGTCGCATCTGTGTAATAATGATCGCAGATGCAAGATTGAGGCTCCATGTGGGTGTCCGCTTCTACGGACGTGTTCCGCTTCTGCGATGTCGCAGGTGCGAAGAGCATTGCGCATATGGCAGTCGGGTAAGTGAATGTCGCAGATGCGATCTTTTTCTCGCAAGTGCGGGAGCGCAAGTGCGCTACTTTGTCCGCAAATGCGAAAATCCCTAGCAGATTTCTATATATTCGAGGGTTGGTTTATTTTATCATATTTTGGAATTTAGAGCTTAGTTTTGGGCAATTTTGGAGAGGAGTTTCACCACATGGATTGGGGTAATTATTTTTGACTCGGTTTTGATTATATTCCATGATTTCCATCTTCGATTTTGGCATTTGATTGATGATTTTAAAAGAGAAATTGGGGATTTTTGTCTAAACTTTCCTAAAGTAAATATTTGAGATTCGAACATCGATTTGGAGTCGGAATTGAGTGAAATTAATATGGTTGGACTCGTAGTTGAATGGGTTGTCAAAATTTGTGAGTTTTGTCGGGTTTCGAGGTGCGAGCCTGGATTGACCTTTTGGATTGACTTTGAGTATTTGATTAAAGATACAACCTTTATGACTTGGGTTTGTTTCCCAAGGCATTATTTGATATTTTTGAGTTGCTTTTGACTAGTTTCGAGTCGTTCAGAAGTTGATTCGCGCGTGATGGCACTTCTAGAGTATTGTTTGGCTTGTTCGAGGTAAGTAATATATCTAAACTTGGATTTGAGGGTAATTAACTCTGGAAACTATGTTATATGAAATGTGTTAGGGTGAAGTACATGCTAGGTGACGAACGTGCGTGCGTGCACCAGGGTATTCATGATCCGGGTTGTTCGTAGGCTATTATGTGCCTTGTGTTGCTATCATACTTCTTGATATCATGTTTTCTC